TATAGAGTAAAGGTGGCTTACTGTTTCTTTAAAAAAAAAAAATACCATAAAAATAAAGAAATTGTTGATTAGAAAAAATTTGCAAAGGGGGCAGCACGGTGGCGCAGTTAGTAGAGCCACCGCCTCTCAGTGAACAGGTCGCCCTGATTCAAATCCCAGCTCGGTGCGTTTCTGGGGGAACTTTGCATGTTCTCTCTGTGCATGCGTGGGTTTTCTCCGGGTGCTCCAGTTTCTTCCCACAGACCAAAAACATGCATGTTAGACTGATTGGTAACTCTAAATTGTCTCTAGGTGAGAGTGAGAGAGTGAATGGTTGTTTGTCTCGCTTTGTGTCCCTGTGGTGGACTGGAGACTTGTCCAGGGTGTCCCCCGCCTCTCGCATAGTGACTGCTGGATATGGACACCAGTGACCCCCACGACCCGAAAAGGAAGAAGGGGGTAAAGATGATGGACGGACGGACCGACAGACGGAATTGCAAATTTTAGTTAAACTAAAGATCCTTATGAAACTACAATAAAAAAAAAGTAATTTAAATTTAATATTTTTTGTTTCAAACTAAGATTTAAAAAAGATTTAGAAAAGACTGACTAGTTTACGGTGGACAACATTATTAATAAACAGTATGTTTCAGCCTGTATGTAATTTGGTCGACTTCTGATTGTGATAAAGTTAAAGGACAGTCGATGGTTAAATTATCAGATTACCAAACCTCATAATTTAAACCTTTGAATCAATATTTTAGAGGCGCTCTCAGATCTGAAGCTTGATTCATTAAAACACAAGACCACCCAAAGTCTGACAGCACTCCGTCTTCTGGAGATATTTCTACTGAATCAGATTGTTGATTTCTTTTGTCCAGTCAAGTTATTCAATCTTGGAAATCCAGAGATCCCACTCTGATGATTTCTTAGATCAGCGTGTTCCAGTTGAGACTTAATTTCCTCTCGGAGTGTGTCCATGAGGGAGTAAATCTGTTCCATCAGCACTGGAAGTTGTTGTGGCTTCACATTTGGTGTTTTTTACAGCCTGCGCTCAGTTTTCAGGACGGAGATGGTCTTTGTGCTGCATTGACAGCATTGTTTCCAGAGTATATTTAGTTTTAATGGAAAACAGAAGAATAGTCTGCTTGTACAGAGTTACACATTTTATTTTATTTGCTTTGCTTATTACCAGTTAATGTCGGTGCTTCAGGAAAATTGTAACACGAGACAGAATCACAAAACAGCAGTTTTTTAAAATTTATTTTAACTAGTATGGACAATTGAATGTACTTGTTGCTACTTGCTACTCCCACTTATTGTAGTTTAAAAATAAAATAAAATCTTGTATTCTAGTTAGAGTTTTCCACTCTCGTGGACTGATAAGGCTTTTGACCCCAACTATTGCTGCTTAAAAAGTATATTAACATCACTAAAAAGTCTATTAAACAATAGAAATGTGCTGGTTTGATATGTTTATAAATATTGTTTGATTGTTTGGTTAAAATGTTGGAGTTAGATACTTAAAAACTTGATTTCTGAAAATCCTCTCAAGACCGACCACTTGGTGTTTCACGACAACTCGGCGAGGTCCAGACCTCAACTTTAAAAACTACTGTTGCATCATTGAAAAATGTTTTCCTTTCTAACTTTATTTTTCTGATAATATTCTACATTTGTCACTCGGGCATATTGTATAGTACCTATTAGAGTCAGAGCTGAAGAACCAGAAACAAAGAATCAGTTTTTGTTTGCTTCATTTGAAGCTCCTTAAGGTGACGTTTGCTGACATGCTCACTCAAATTATATGTTTTTGTCTTTTCTTTGTATTTAATTGTAACTAGGGCTGGATGATGTGGCTTAAACTTTTATCATGATATAGTTCTTAATTTTGGTCGATAACATATAATTCCGATATCGATATAAACAATATAAAAGCCTCAGAAAAACTGTACCAACTACAAATAAATTAATGTTCACCTTTTATTTGTATTTAGCCTTTAAATAAATTTGAAATCACTGTCAAATAAACATAAAACTCTCAACTTTGTCAATATTAATAGTTTTAACTTTAACCAACAAGATAACCTAACGTTTGCTGCATGGGTTTCTCTTTTGATACAGCTGGGGGTGTTTCAGGGACACGTTGGCTCAAACTTTATTGTGCTTCATCTTGTGACTCATCATCTTCTGTCAAGTGGAACAAGTTTGATGTTCCCAGCGCTAGTTGGAACGACTCTCCGTCACATTTTGCAGCACACTGACTGAAACCTGCAGTTTATGGGATCTTAGCCGAACCACTTCCACACTGTCAAATTAATCTTTCTTCTCTTATCAGTTATGTCATTAGCTTTCTCTTCACTTGTGAAAGTTTGTTCAGTCACATTCTAACGGTCATGGGAACTCATTTTGAAGCGAAAACTTAATGCGCGTTGCAGATTAGCCTAGCTTTCTATCGCTGACTCCTTCTGGACTTGAGCTCTGCGCGTGGTGTACGTCACCACACACTTATGTAGTTGTGTCGTGGTTTTTTCTGTTCGGGTTCAACCCGAACAGAAAACGAAATGCGTCAGTGAAACGCTGTAATCATATTGAAATATTGAAAATGTGCTTAAAATTCATATCACCGTTACTGAATAAAAGAATAATGTGATATATATATCGATATTAAATTATTGTCCAGCCCTAATTATAATGAAGGCTGATAATTTTTAATTGCATCTACTGATGTTTTGGACTCATCCAGAGAGTTTTTGTACTAATAAAGCTGTAAAAGTGCTCCAACTGAGTCATGTGACGTTTCCTATAGAAAGTAACCTCTTCCACTCTGAACCTGATATGACTTGATGCACGGTGCTTTAACTGGATTGTTTCTTTACTTCACAGTTGTCAAGCATACATCTTCCTGTAAAACTGTTAACTTTATGTTTTCTTCCCTGCAGCACACCAGTAATGCTGGGAATCTACATCAGTATCTTCATCATCCTCGCCAACATCCTCTTCATCTGTGCCATATACTCCTGCATCAAGGTAGTGGATCTCAGCTGGACGCTAAAGCTTTGACTGTTTGCTGTTTAAAATTTGTTCAAAGTAAAAACCTCATTTGTTTGCTTTCGCAGCTCTTTCCCGGCGCGATGCAAACTGTCTCGAAGAAGATTGTCCAGTCTCGCACCACCAGCACCCTGGTGGGAGTGTTCTCCATCATCCTGGTCTTCATCTCTGCCTTCATTAACATGGTAAGGTTTTGTAAGTCAAACAAAGAGACAGATTTCTGTTCAGGAAGTGATTCTTTGGTTGTGCGCGGACGTTTGGCTGCAGTTCGCCTGCGACACCACAAGCTTGTCGGAATGCGTCGCAGAGAAGCTGAACACCTCCGCGGCCCTGGTGACGCCATGTCTGATCCGCAGCCTGAATGTGTCCGTCGAAGGGGGTCTAGAGATCTGTCCAAGCCAAGGTCCTTCCTGCCCGTTTCCTGAGGTGTGCGTTGCTCTTTGTGTTCCCGCTGTGAACGTTTCTGAAGGAAAACTTCACATTTGTGCTTCTCGGAGATCTCTGGTTGCTGATGTGTCTCGCTGCCGTCTCCTGCTTGTGTCAGTATTTCAGCTACAGCGTGCTGCTGACGCTGCTGGCGTGCTCCGTGTTCCTGCAAATCAGCAGCATAGGGAAGCTGGCCCTCATGCTGTTCATCCAGCTCACCTTCCTGCTGCTGGTGGAGTGGCCACAAGTAGCCCTGCTGGACAACGCAGACCTCTTTGTCACCTCCAACGCCATGTAAGTTCATCGGCACAAGAAACAGCGCCTTAGCTTTGACTCACAGTTTGGGTGGAAATGTTTAGAACTTGGCGTCAAATTAAACTGGTTTCTCACAGGGCTGCTACTGTTGGAGACAAGTTGGAGACTCAAAATTGTGAGAAAACAAGATTGGATTAGATTAGATTAGATACAACTGTATTGATCCCTTGGGAAGATTCAAAAAGGGACATTAGTAAGTATAATCAATGCTAAGTAAAATGAAAAACAAAACAATTTACACACGTACGTACAGATTTAACAATAAATAATACTATATAACCTGTTAGGGTGGTAGCTGCTGCTCCTTCTCCGTCCTCCTGGTACCTCTCCTCCCGTAGATAGGCAGCTTTCTTTAGTTATTCACTTACTACCCACTGGCATGAAGGGCAGTAACAAAGGTCCTCCACTCCTGTCCTGGGCCAGCATCTAGATGGTGCCTCAGGTGTGGCTCTACCTCTACCGTTGGTCTCCAGGTGTTCTTTGGTCTGCCTCTCCTGGGCTTGTCTTCTGGTGTCCAGTGTGTGACTGTGGGGGTAATGTTACCAGAGTTTTTCTAAGCACATGCTCAGTCCTTCACCTTCTCATGATGATGGCCTCCATGCTGTCTTAATGACAACGAGCAAACAGCTGTTAGTTTGAGTTGGTGTTGGGTCAGAAGGTTCTCAGGGTTCTTTGCTTGTTCAGGTTCCTGGCAGTCATCCTCCAACACGCTCGTCTGTGTAACTGGGTACAGCTTCAGCCTGGTCTTTATGCTGCACTGCTGGAACCTCCAAACGTTGCTAAGCATTGTAAAGACAGTTCTTTATGCTCCTTCGTGTCTAACTGTGCTGCCTGAGCAGGTGGTGCCTCAGTCATGGATTGATCTTCTCCATTCACCTGCAGTGGTGGGGGATTTGGGATGTTTTAACTTTTTTAGTTACGAGCGAACTGTGCCGCTGCGTTTTGTGGGAGAAAATAAACCAAAAATTCTCTACTAATTAGTGTGATGCAGGTGAACCCCCAGACATCTTTCTGAGGACATCACAGAGCTGTTGTTGTGCAATCAGCTGCAGTAAAAGGCCACTAATCCTATTTCCACTTATCTGAGTGGAGTAGGCTTCTGGGCCTGCACAGGTTCATAGGTGTCGTAAGAAGAAAACCTTCAGTGAAGGCAAGCTCTGCAGGAGGTTGTCTTTTCACACATTGGTGCACGTTTAAGTTACAAACTCATACGTTTCCATTAAGCAACTTATGAATAAACAGGTGGAAATTAGCTCAAATAAAATACAGCTCTAGTGCTTTAAAAATACAGACACTTGCCTGAGACACCCGCAACAACTCTGCAATTATTTTGAGAGTAAATGTATCGCAGATTTTGTTAAGCGTGCTTAAAATTCAAGCTACCTCTGCGACTCACATGAGAAACCTGAGAACCTGCTGAGACTTTGGACGTGTCCTCGTGAAGGCCGTCAGCAGTTTGTTGTCACCGTTTGCACAGTGAGATGCTGACAGGCTTCAATGTCAAACAACTAACGTACCTGAAGAAACATTTCATCTAAATTTTAAATGATTAATTCTTAGAAACAAAATAGTTTTCGAAGCAGTGAGCTGTCGGACACGATTGGCGAACGTTTTAAACGGCTTGTTCATTGAACTCGAGTCTGGAAAAACAATTTTTAAGAATCTTATCCCTTCTGATGTGGGTTTTTAAAAACACAGCTGCGCTTTAACATCAAGAAGTTTTATTTACCGTGGAAAAATGTGTGTGTATTTTTAAACACCATTGCTTTCTTGGTTTCATCCTCTGTGACAGTTGTTTTAAACATATAACAACAATTTATATTTTATTGACTTGGATTATTTTCTCTTTTCAGTGATTTAAATGAAACTAGCACTGAATGGTAAGTTGGTTGGTTTATGTCCATTGTTTTGTTTTGTCATCTCACTTGTTTGTCTGTATGAAGTAATTTAAAAAGGAAATACTCCTTCTTTCAGTTTCTAATTAGGTGATTATTATTATTAATATTAGGTGGAAACAACCTGTTCTTATGTGAAGGTTTCAGAAATGCAGCTGTACTGTTTTTACAGGAAGCAAGAAAGTCATATTAGACTTTATTTATTTATTTTTACCTTATTTTATGGAACTGGTGCTAAATAAACTACATAAGAAGTCACTTTATTTAAAAACAACAACTCTTAAACCACGACCTCTTGTATGAGCGTGCTGTGGACAGATGCAGTCTCAGAACAAGTGTCAAACACGGAGGTGGAAGGTTGATGATGGGCTGGTCGTCATGTATTCTGACGTGAGCCCATCTGGGTCTGTTTTGATCCAGAACTGACTCACAGCAGCAGCAGATCTGCAGCAGGACTAAATGCTGACAGCCGATTAAAACGTGTTTCTGAGGTCACAGTTATCTCGTTTTGAAACTTGTCGAGAACCAGAGAGAAGATTGTTTTTGTACGCTCCGTCTGAACCGTCTAAATCAGCAGTGAATCGTAACTATTGGAGAAAAAAAATGTAATTAGTAGTTTGAAACTTTGAAAAACTTTGTGGCAACGCATGTCGACAGTGTATTGACTTAATGGTGCCTTCAAGTATAACCTGTAAATTCAATAATCCACACTGAAATAGTAGCTACTTTAAATATAATCTGAAAAAAAAAATGAAGGATAAAATTTCAATTTGTTATCAATTGGCAATTTTCTCACAAATATACAATATGTTGTTTTTATTACATGATAAGTTATCAAAACATCAGTAAGTTCTGTCGACGTTTTAAAATGCTTCTCAAGTCATGGCTGATTTACTGGATCTGCCTCTGGTCTCAAAGCACACCAGTCAGGCCCACAAACCTGATGGCTGTTTCCTGCTTCATGACCGACGCCACTTGTCAACACTTCTTATAGATGCAGATTAATTAAACACAGCAGCAAAGTTCACAGTTCTCAAGGTGACATGAAAACCGAACCTTTCAGGTTGTTTTTCCATTTCAGAAACTGAGATAAGCGACGGTTAAAGTTTCTCAGAAGAGCGTCAGTTTTTGAAAGCAGATCCGTCTTGTTAAGACGTAAAACAGAAATCAGACGAAGTGTCAGGAATTCTACAACCTAATCCTAGATTGAGCTCATTTGTTGTACATGCCTGACAATAATCCTCCTCCATTAGAATCAGTTTGCAGACAGTGTAAATTCTTATAATTATATCTAAAAAAGTTAAATCTGGTCCTCTGGACATTAAAAAAAAACAACAAAAAAAACAAAAACAAAGCAAAACAACAAAAAAGTTATAGGCCTGTTTAGAAGGCCTATTTAGAAATAGCCTGTTTGCCTATTTCAGCTTCTTCCAAGGGTGTCCAAAGTGCGGCTTGGGGGCCATTTGTGGCCCTTGGAGTGATTTTGTGTGGCCCACAACTGAAGTTTAAGGATGGCATAATTGTGGCCCTTAGGCTTAAGAAACTGATGTAGACCTTTTGCAAATTTAATGATTATTTTTTATATAATTTTTAGGTTCAACAGCAACATGGTTAAAAAAAAAATCTCAAATGAACAATATTAAGTTTAATACAGTCTTTTGGCAATAAATCAATAAAATCAAATAAATTAAATAAAACAATAAAGTAATAAAATGTTAGTGTAAATGAAGCTTTTAATGTTTTGGATCTACAATACAGACCCATCCATCCATCCATTTTCTTTACCCGCTTAATCCATTTTAGGTCACGGGGGTCGCTGGTGCCCATGTCCAGCAATCACTGTGCGAGGGGCGGGGTACACCCTGGACAGGTCTCCAGTCCATCACAGGGCCACATAGAGACAAACGAGACAATCAACCATTCACTCTCTCACTCACACCTAGGGACAATTCAGAGTTACCAATCAGCCTAACATGCATGTTTTTGGACTGTGGGAGGAAACTGGAGTACCCGGAGAAAACCCACGCATGCACGGAGAGAACATGCAAACTCCACCCAGAAAGGCCCCTGGACTGGGGTTTGAACCAGGGACCTGCTCGCTGAGAGGCAGCAGCTCTACCAGTTGCGCACAATACAGACCCTTTCCAAAAAATTTGAATATCATGGAAAAGTTGTTTAACTTTTATAATTCAATTCAAAAAGTTAATCTTTAATAGATGATAGATTCAGGGCCCACAATTTAAACAAGTTCAAGTATTTGTTTCTTTTTACATAATGTGGGCTTCCAGCTCATGAAACCCACAAAAACAGGATTTCAAAAAATTAGAATACTGTGAACACATCAGCCCACACTACTCCTCAGTTTTTGCAGCGAAAAAAAAAAGAAAGAAATTAGGATCACAACAAATCAATCAAAATAAGGTACTTTCAAAACGATATGTCATTCTTCAATACTTGGTTGTGAATCCCTTTACCTTAATCACTGCCTCGATGTGACGTGGCATTGAGGCAATCAGCCTGTGGTATTGACTGGGAGTTATGGAAGCCCAGATTTCCTTGATGCCGTCAGCTCTTCTTTGTTGTTGGGTCTGGTGCTCCTCATTTTCCTCTTCAGAATACTCCATAGATTCTCAATGGGGTTTAGGTCCGGCGAGTTGGCTGGCCAGTCAAGCACTGTGGCATGGGCATCAAACCAGGTCTTGGTGCTTCTGGCAGCATTGGCAGGGGCCAGGTCCTGCTGGAAGATGAAATCTGCATCTCCATACAGATCCTCAGCAGAAGGAATCATGAAGTCCTCTAAAACATTCTGGTAGACTGTTGCGGTGACCTTGGATTTAAGAAAGCAGAGTTTACCAACACCTGCACCGGACATTACACCCTAAATCATGACTGACTGTGGAAATTTCACACTGGACCTCAAGCAGTATGGGTTCTGTTCCTCACTCTTCTTCCTCCAAACCCTTGGACCTTGGATTTCTGAATGAAAGGCACATTTTACTTTCATCAGAAAAGAGGACAGAGGAACCCAACAGTTGTAGCCCATCTCCTGGATGTGTCTGAATGTGGTGGTTTTTGAAGCTGTGACTCCCGCCTCATTCCACTCTTTCTGGATCTCTGCCAGATTCTGGAATCTTCTCTGTTTGATAATCCGCTGAAGCCCACGGTCATCTCTTTTGCTGGTGCATCTTCTCCTGCCACATTTTGCCCTTCCACTAGACTTTCCATTGATATGCTTGGACACAGCACTCTGTGAACAGCCAGCCTCCTTAGCTATGAACTTTTGTGGCTTACCCATCCTATGGAGGGTATCAATGATGGTCTTCTGGCCAGTTGTTATGTCTGCAGTCTTCCCCATATTGAACCGAACTGAGACAATTGAACCAAACTGAACCAATTTAATGACATCTGGGGAAACATGTGCAGGTGCTTTGAGTTTAGTAGATGATTAGTGTCACACTCAGTTTAAAACATTCATGTCCTGCAACATTTGGGCTGATGTCTTCACAGTATTCTAATTTTTTGAAATCCTGTTTTCATGGGTTTCATGAGCTGGAAGCCCAAATTATGTAAAAATAAACAAATAAATACTTGAAGTTGTTTAAATTGTGGACCCTGAATCTATCATCTATTACAGTTTAACTTTTAGAATGGAATTATCGAAGTTAAAACTACTTTTCCATGATGATATAATTTTTTGGAAAGGGTCTGTAATTTAGAACACCTTCTCCAACAAAATTAGTAAATTTTGTCCTTTCTCCAAAATATTGTTTATGCTGAATAAAAAAAAAGTGTGCTTTTTAATATTTATTTATTTAATTAGCTTTTTTCGGGCTCACAACTCCTTTCATCTTCAAAGTTTTGGCCCCCATATGAAAATGTTTGGACACCCCTGGCTTATTCTCCTTATTTCTGCTACATTTTTGCCCTATTCAGCTTTTTCTACACATTTCTGCCTTTTTTCTTCTGCTTTCAGCTTCTGTTTTCCTGCGGTCAGGAAAACAGAAGCTCTTCAAATTCAACTCGCATTAACAGTTTAGTGATTAATTATTTTTTTAACCTTTCAACTTCTTCAGCAGCTTTCAGCTAAAATCATTCAGCTGTTGGGGGAAGAATCAGTTTTGTGTTGTGTGTTTCCTTGACTGATGAAGCCTTCTGGATGGAAGGTGAAACGTTTCAGCACAAAAAAATAGAACTGTCCAAATGACCTGACAAAGTTGTTGCATTCAGCAATAAGCATTTGTCCTGTATTTTCACAGGGAACGTAATTCGTCTCGTTGGAAAGTGTTTTCTGTGTGATACGATCTTCAGGAATGGTTGTTTTCCTCTTCTCAGTCAGGTTGTGGCTGAGTGGGTTCAAACTAAAAACAAAAAGAGGCTAAAACTAGACTCTACTTTTCCATCTTGTTTAAATATTAATTGCAACACTGACATCAGTATTTGTTTTATTCTTTTATAAGATCATTAAAATAAATGATTTTTTTTAACTTCAGTTGTTCTCATCAGGATTTATTTTTATTTTAGGTCCAGTTTCAATGAAACTACAAACCAGTGGTAAGATGTTTAACTTCAGACAGATTGTAATCCTTACCTAATTTAAGGTTTTGAATATTCATCTTTGTTTCAAAAATATATATATTCTGTTCTTTATATTTTCTTTACTTTTTTTGCTTCAAACTGTAAATCTGTACTTTATTTAAACTCTGCTTGGTCATTTTCAGCCCATTTGTTGTGACCAAAGTGTCCCTCCGGGTCATGACTCCAGTGATCCTCACAGTCTTTGTCCTGGCTCTGTACCTGCACGCACAGCAGGTCGAGTCCACCGCACGCCTCGACTTCCTCTGGAAGTTACAGGTACAGGTTCCAGAGTCCGAGCACATTCGGTCCACACATGATCTGTTTCTCCACTTTTTTTTCATAAAGGCTGCTCAAATCAAATCTTCTAAACCACCCTCGCTCTCAGGCCACCGAGGAGAAGGAGGATATGGAGGAGCTGCAGGCCTACAACCGTCGCCTCCTTCATAACATCCTGCCCAAGGATGTAGCTGCTCACTTCTTGGCTCGAGAGCGGCGCAACGACGAGCTGTACTACCAGTCCTGCGAGTGTGTGGCCGTCATGTTCGCCTCCATCAGCAACTTCTCAGAGTTCTACGTGGAGCTGGAGGCCAACAACGAAGGAGTGGAGTGTCTCCGGCTGCTTAACGAGATCATCGCAGACTTTGATGAGGTAAAAACTGTGGGTTTTTTTTGTTTTTAAGCTGAGCCTAGATCTTTGAGAGTCAGCAATCTTCATCTGTCTTCTCTTAACACCCCAGATCATCAGTGAAGAGAAGTACAGGCAGCTAGAGAAGATCAAGACCATTGGCTCCACGTACATGGCGGCCTCCGGCCTTAACGACTCTACGTATGACAAAGAGGGTCGCACTCATATTACTGCGCTGGCAGACTACGCCATGAGACTGAGAGAACAGATGAAATACATCAACGAGCATTCCTTCAACAACTTCCAGATGAAGATAGGTGAGGAACGGGAAGCAGAAAGCCCTCGGAGATACGTTCAGAGCAGCTTATGTCACTGTGATCCGTCTTTGTGTGTTTACTGAGCAGGTCTGAACATCGGGCCAGTGGTGGCGGGAGTTATTGGGGCTCGGAAGCCTCAGTATGACATCTGGGGAAACACAGTGAACGTGGCCAGTCGCATGGACAGCACAGGAGTACCCGACTGCATACAGGTAGGTTTTATGGTGCTAATAGTTCAAAGGGAATTCAATGTCAATAAAGCATTTTATAGGCACCATTATTTATCTGTACCTTTACATTCTAATGTAGAGATATATCTACACGTCAGTCAAATACAGAAAGAACCAGGAAGTTCTGGTTTCAGGTATTTTGTTAAGAGTTTATTTGTTATAAACTGACTCCTAAAAATACTTAATTTCACAATTACTCAGAGACAAATGTGGACCACTTAAACAGCCATTTTACTCCAAAATGACTTGACAAATAAAATATAAGAAGCTGTTATTGATGTGGTTTTACTAAAAGTGGAGAAAGAGCAAAAACTGATCAAATGGGCTGAAATATAAAAATGTGTCACAAATATTCATGAGAATTTGTTGCGTTTTATTTCTGTTAATTGATTTTTATATCATGTCAAATGCCACCGGTTTTATATATATATATATATATATATATATATATATATATATACATCCATCCATCCATTTTCTTTACCCGCTTATTCCATTTTGGATCACGGGGGTCGTCAGTGCCCATGTCCAGCAATCACTGTGTGAGGGGCGGGGTACACCCTGGACAGGTCGCAAGTCCATCACAGGGACATATAGAGACAAACGAGACAAAAAACCATTCACTCTCTCACTCACAACTAGGGACAATTTAGAGTTACCAATCAGCCTAACATGCATGTTTTTGGTCTGTGGGAGGAAACCGGAGTACCCGAAGAAAACCCACGCATGCACGGAGAGAACATGCAAACTCCACCCAGAAAGGCCCCTGGACCGGGGTTTGAACCAAGGACCTGCTCGCTGAGAGGCAGCAGCTCTACCAGTTGTGCCACTGTGCTGCATACATATATATACAGGTCCTTCTCAAAAAATTAGCATATTGTGATAAAGGTCAT